TTAATGGATTCAATTTGCTAATATTTCACTGAGAATTTTTGCATTGACTTTCATGAGAGATGTTAGTATGTGATTTTTTCTTGAATGTCCTTGCCTAGATTTGGTTTAGAGTAATGTGGGCCTCACAGAATGAATTAAAAAATATTCCCTCTTTTTATCTTCTGGAAGAGTTTGCAGTGAATTGGTATAATTTCTTTCTTAAGTGTTTGGGAGAATTCACCAGATAAATCTGTAAGGGCCTAGTGCTTTCTGTTTTAGAAGATTATTAGTTATTAATTCAATTTATTTTAGTGAAGATAGGCCTATTTAGGTTGTCTATTTTTGTTTGTTGGTTTGTTTTTGTTTTAGCAGATTGTGTCTTCTAAGGACTTGAATAATTTTACCTAAGTTGTCAAATTTGTGAGCATAGAGTTGTTCATCATTTTCCTTTATTATCCTTTTAATGTCCTTGGAACTTGTAGTGATGTGCCCTCTTTCATTTCTTATATTAGCAATTTGTGTCTTTTCTCTTTTTTTTCTTAGTTAGCTTGGCAAAAGGCTTATATATTTTATCAATCCATTCCAAAAATCAGCTTTTGGTTTTGTTGATTTTCTCTATTGATTTTCTCTTTTCAATTTCCTTAATTTCTACTATAATTTTTATTTTTTTTTTCACTTAATTTGGATTTTATTTTCTATTCTTTTTCTAGTTTCCTAAGGTGAAAGCTAGATTATTGATTTTTAGATATTTCTTCCTTTCAAATACATGAATTCAATTCTGTAAATTTCCCTAAAGCACTGCTTTCACTGAATCCCACAATTTTCAGTAAGTTGTCTTTTCATTTTTATTTAGTTAAAAGTATTTTTACATTTATCTTGAAATTTTTTCTTTGACCCATGTGTTATTTAGAAGCACACTGTTTAGTCTCCAAGTACTTGGGGATTTTCCATCTGTAGTTCTGTTATTGATTTCTAGTTTAATTCCATTACAGTCTGAGAGCAGACATTATGTTATTTCTGTGCTTTCACATTTTTTCAGGTGTGTTTTATGGCCTGAATATCCCATACATGTTTGAGAATAATGTTAAATTTGCTGTTGTTAGATGGAGTCGTCTATAGATGTAAATTATATTCAGATGATTGATGTTGCTGTTGAGTTCAACTATGCCGTAACTGATTTTCTGCCTGCTAGAACTGTCTATTTCTGATAGAGGGGTGCTAAAGTCTCTACCTATAATAGTGGATTCATTTATTAAGAATTGCTATGTCTTCCTGGAGTATTGACAGCTTCATCATTTTATAATGTCCTGCTTTATCCCTGATAAGTTTTCTTGCTCTGAAGTCTGCACAGTCTGAAATTAATACAGCTACTCCCACTTTATTTTGATTAGTGTTAACATAGTATTTCTTTCTCCACTCCTGAACTTTTCATCTATATATGTTTTTGTATTTAAAGTGGATTTCTTGTAGACAACAGAGAGTTGGGTCTTGTTTTTGGATCCACGCTGACAGTCTCTGTCTTTTAATTAGTCTATTTAGACTATTGGTGTTTACAGTGATTATTGGTATCATCAAATTAATATCTTTCATATTTGTTACTTTATTTCTATTCATTGCCCTTGGTATTTGTTCCTATTTTTGTTGCCTGCTCTTTTTATGCCTTTTTTAGTTTTAGTTGAACATTTTATATAATTCTCTTTTCTCTCATTTCTTCCCATATCAACTATATATTTTTTTACTTTTTTTCCAGTGGTTGCACTAGTGTTTACAACATACGTTGACAATAAATTCAAGCCCACTTTTACTTTTTGCTTTTGTTTATTTAACTTTTTTTTTTTTTTTTAATAGAGATGAGGTTTCACTATGTTGACCAGGCTGGTTTCAAACTCCTGGACTCAAACTATCCTCTTACCTCAGCCTCCCAAAGTGCTAGAATTACAGGTGTGAGTCATCATGCCCATCCTCAGGTTCACTTTTTGTTTGTTTGTTTGTTTGTTTGTTTGTTTTGAGACGGCGTCTCACTGTGTCACCCATGCTGGAGTGCAGTGGCACGATCTCAGCTCACTGCAACCTCTGACTCCCAGGTTCAAGCGATTCTCCTGCCTCAGCCTCCTGAGTAGCTGGGATTTCAGGCATGTACCACTACACCTGGCTAATTTTTGTTATTTTTAGTAGAGACAGGGTTTCACCACGTTGGCCAGGCTGGTCTCAAACTCCTGACCTTAAGTGATCTGCCCACCTCAGCCTCTCAAAGTGCTGGGATTACAGGCATGAGCCACCACGCCAGGCCAAGTTCACTTTTAAGTAGTACAATACAACTTCACAGATAGTGCAAGTACCTTATAATAAAACATTTCTAATTTTCCCTCCCATTTATTGTATAATAGTATATTTCATTTCTACATAAGCATACATAATTATATTATACATACATAAACATACATAATTGAATACCTTATTGCTATTATCATTTTTTTCTCGTTGGCCATGAACCTTGTGATTTGTGAGGAAAAGTATCACATCTATTCATTCCCACAGGAGCCAAGATAAGAATTATATCTGACATCCTCAAAAACCATGCAAATGAGAGTGGAGTGAAATATTTAAAGTGTTAAGAGAAAAATCCACCAAACTAGAATTCTGTACCCTGTGAAATCATCCTTTAAAAATGAAAAAAAAATTGAGACTTCAGAAATGAAGACACAAGGACCCAGGGGAAACTTTCTGTTTTTGTGCTTTAATGGACAGCCATGTAGAAATGGAATTGGACTAAAAGGTATGATCTAATGGTAATAGAGTGAAAAGGGGAAACCCAGCAATGCCTGTCTGTTCAGATTTTTCTTGGCCTCTCTGTGTAGTCTTCCTTCCTCCTGGGAATGGAGCAGGACCTCTCTGAATGAGGGTCTTCAAGGGAGAAGGGGAAAGGGAGAGAGTGACCCTCCTTGTTTTTATGGCTTGCTTTGGGGGAAGGGGTTCTAGTTTCTATGACTCACCCTGGGGAAGCAGGAATCGTTTTTCTGGTGGGGGTGGGAGCAGGCGGGATAGGGTCTCCCTTTGTCACCCAGGCTGGAGTGCAGGGGCACGATCTCGGCTGCAACCTCCACCTCCCAGGTTCAAGCGATCCTCCTGTCTCAACCTTCTGAGTAGCCAGGATTACAGGCGTGCGCCACCACAGCCCGGCTAATTTTTGTATTTTTAGTAGAGACAGCGTTTCACCTTATTGGTCAGGCTGGTCTTGAACTCCCAACCTCAGCTGATCTGCCTGCCTTGGCCTCCCGAAGTGCTGGGATTACAGGCATGAGCCACCCTGCCCAGCTGGATTCTTTCGGTTTCTATGACTCACTTTGTGGAGGGGCAGGAGGTAGGAAGGCAGAAGGAGGTCAGACAGACCTTGCTTCTGAGACCTTTCCAATCTTCAGTTCCAAGTAATCAGCATGCCAAGGCACCATACTTCAGGGTGTGCCCCAATACTGCTCTGTAAGTCAGGTGTTTGTTCCTCTGGCTCCTTTCAAGAATTTGTTTTTAATCTTCAATTTTCTGAAATTTGAATATAATTTCCTACAGGCAGTTTCTGGCATTTATTTGGTTTGGTGTTCTCTGAACTTTCTGTATCTGTGGTTTGACTTCTGACATTAATTTGGGGAAATTCTCAGTCATTATTGCTGCAAATATTGGTTCTATTTCTTTCTTTTCCTTCTCCTTCTGATATCCCATTGTGCATATATTAGTTACATCGTCTGTAGCGCCTGAGTTCTTGGATATTCTGTTCTGTTTTTTTCATTTTTCTCTTCGCTTTTAAGTTGCAATTGTCATATCCTCAAGTTCAGAGCTTCTTTCCTCAGCCATGTCCAGTCTACGAATGAGCCCATCAAAGGCATTCTTCATTTCTGTTGCAGTGTTTTTGATCTAGATTTCTCCGATATTCACCATGAGAACCTGGTAGAGCTTCTGGAGGCAAAAGTCACAAAAGTGTACCACCCCCCACCACCCTCCACTGGAGTTTTTATCACTCCGTCTTATTCACTGAGCCTCCAACAATCGATCAGTTACAGGTCTCGTTTCCCTGCTCCAGCTCTGGTTTCCACGGAGGTTTCAGCTGTAGCAAGTTGTGATTCTTTGTGTGCGCCTGTCTCTCTAGTTTTTCAAGCAACAGGTTGCCCTGTGACACCATCTCTCTCACAAATCTGAGAAAAAGCGTTGATTGTTTTTTAGTGTGTTTGGGTTTTTCCTTGTTGTTAGGATGGAATGACAACTTTCAAGCTACTTATATACCAGACCATAACCCAGACGTCTGTTCTGTTCATGTTTTAGATTATTTTTTTCTCTGTGATTCATGTTGAAAGTTTCTATGGTTACGTTTTCACTTTCACTAATGCTTTCTACTGTAATGTCCAACCTGTCATTAACCCCATCCAGTGCATTTTTCATCTCAAGCATTGTACTTTTTATCTTCAGAAGTTTGATTTAGATCTTTTTTACGTCTCCCATGTCTCTACTTAACGTTTTTTAATCTTTAACTTTTGGAACATATTAAATACAGTTATGATAACTGTTTTAATGCCTCTGTCTGCTAATTCTAACATCTGTGTTAATTCCAGGTTGGTTTCAACTTTATTATTATTCTCCTCATTATGACTCATATTATCCTACCTCTCTGCATGACTGGCCTTTTTTACTATATGTTGATTTAGTATACAAATTTTGCCCTGTTCAGGGCTGGATGTATTTTATTTCTTTTTCTTTTTTTCTTGAGATAGAGTCTCGCTCTGTCACCCAGGCTGGAGTGCAGTGGCGCAATCTCAGATCACTGCAACCTCCACCTCCTAGGTTTAAGCGATTCTCCTGGCTCAGCCTCCTGAGTAGCTGGGATTATGGCACACGCCACCACGCCCAACTAATTTTTGTATTTTTAGTAGAGACGGGGTTTTACCATGTTGGTCAGGCTGGTCTCGTGGTCTGCCTGCCTTGAGCCTCCCAAAGTGCTGGGATTACAGGCCTGAGCCACCACACCTGGCCTGATGTTCTATAAATATTCTTGAAATTTGTCCTAGAGTGCATTTAATATACTTGGAAAGAGATTGATCCTTTTTGTGTTTGCTTGTAATATTTGTTAGGGGGGATCAGAGCAGCATTTGGTCTGAGGATAATCATTCCCCACTAGTGAGGCAAGACTCAACCCAGCACCCCAGGAATGAGGATATTTTCCAGTCTGGCTGGTGGGAACAGGTACTGTTTCCAGTCTTGTATGAGCTCCAGATACTGCTCCCTCTAATCTTTTCCCCTAGTTCCTTCTCCAGCCACAGGTACTGTACACACGTGCTAATCAGGACTCTGTGACCACTTGAGGGGGTCCCTCAATGCATCTCTACGTTCTTTTTTTGTGCAGCTCTCTCTTCTCTGGTTCTCTTCCCTGAAAGCCCTCTTTGCCTTAGTCTTTCTCAGTTCGCTTCATCTCCTCAATTCAAGGTGTCTTCCAGGATCCAACAAGGTTTCTCCTCCCTGCGCCATGCCTGAAATCTCTATTAAATCAGTAAGCTGGTAGACGTGTAGGAGTCATCTCAGCTCCTCGTTTCTCAAGAATCACTGTTCTTTGCTGCCTGATGTCTAATGTCTTGAAAACTGTTCTTTAATGTATTTTTCCAATGTTTTTGTTATCTGCGGCAAGAGAATAAATCCAGTCCCTGCAGAGCCTATTTATCCCTGTTACCAAGACGTGACCCTTCTGGGGTCTCTACTGAATATTCTCCACTGAGAACACCTAGTTCTCTCCACCTGGCTGGTCTGAACAAAGCTTCCCCGTGTGAGCGCTCAGGATGGCTCACCTTACTGCTTTCTGGCAGCGCTTTTCCTAGTTTCACGGAGTTTCATCCATGCTTATGTGGCTTTGCTTTCAGCAACAAACACAAGAGCAAACCTCTACCGGTTTCTGCAGCTCTTTCTCTAAAGCCGCTTCCTCTGCTTTGGCTTCTGTCCTGCAAATTGTGACTGCCTTAGCCTCACCAAACTTCAGTCTCCGAACCCTCCACTCACCATCACCCCTGCACTCTGCGTGGGTTCTCCTTTCCTGCGCTGAGGTCTGGAGAGTGCCTCCAGGCAGAAAGAAGAGGGGATCGTGGGATCCATCTCACTTGTTTCCTTTTTTTCAGGGATCATAGTCCTGCGCTTTCTGTTATCCAATGTTTAAAAACTGCTGTTTCATTTGCCCAGTTTTCTCGTTGTTTATTATGGGAGCGCAAGTCAAGTATAGGTTTCTCCACCACAGTGAAAGCAGAAGTCTTCAATGTAAGTGTTTTAAATGACAACATGCAAATCATTATATTGAAAGTGCTTTTTTAAATGAATATCCCACTCCTACCAAAATTCTGATCACTCCTCTACAGAGGGCTGGCCCTTGTTTGAGAATAGCTCGTCTAGTGAAATCCATGGATGTAAAGCCTTTAATTCAACCACATTTATTCAAACATTTCATAAACCGTATCGCATGGCGGGCACGGTGCTCGGTTCTGAAGATCCAGAGACAGTAAGACGCCACTGGTGCCTTAAGGATTTCACTCTCAAAGTCAGCACCTTGTCAGAGTGTTAAAACCCAGTAAGGGCAGTGACAGAGATAATCGTGCGAAATACCAATGAGGCAGGGAAAGCGGGGAGGGGAACAGGCTGCTGAATCCAGTTTAGAGACAGGTGGAAGGTTGTCAAGGATTACTTCCGGAGGTGACACTTAAGCTGACTCTTTAAAGAGGAAAGCAACTCACCACGCAAAGAGAGGACAGTTTGAGCAAAAACATGAGGCAGAAACAGCACACAGTATGCCTGGGAACAACAGGCCATTTGAGGTTGCTGAAGCAAAAATTCCCAGAGAGGGAGAGGCAGGGGATGGAGCTGGAGAGGCCGGGAGAGGTCACGACAGGGAGGGCCTTCTGTGTCACACTGGGGAGCCTGCCACTAAGGGCTGAGTCTTTTACATAACTTTGCATGGTGGCTGGCAGGGTGCATGCCCGCCTCAGCACGCAGCAGGTATTATTAGATGATGATCATGAGAGATAAATCTAAGAAACCGCAAAACTCTGAGCGGAGCCAAAATCCCTTAGGTTCCGAGGTTCCAGAAAGTTATCCGACTCCTCTGCCCCTTTGCAAATTCAGCTGAGATGTGTGGCAGTGGTGGTCAGCCAGCCCTGAGGTGCTGCTTTCTCGGCAATTGGCTGAGCCTCTAGACTTGCATCTATGGCTGGAGCATAGTAAGGAGGGAGAAGGGGAGAGCGTGAGTGAGACAGAGAAGAAAGACAGCACTAGGGGACAGGAAGTCACGCTGAGAGACACAGCCACAGTGGGGCTCAGATTGAAGGGATAGATCAAGAAACACTTTAACGCAAGAAGATGATTTCTGGTGTCAAGAGGAGAATCATATGCTTTCTCCCAGAAAACTCTGCAAATACTTGGTGACCAACCAGACCACAAAGCCGCGCGTTCAGGGGCTCCCTCCCTCCCCATCGTAGGGGTCTCTGGGAGTGGGGCAGGGTCTCCAGTCTAAACTCAAGCCAGGATTCAGACACATATGGACAATGCAGATGGGCCGGCCCCAGCAGAAGTCTATTTGTCTGAGGCGTTGAGGGGCCTCCAGAAAAATAATCCACATGGAAGGAAATGGGAATACCACCTGATCAGCTCAAACCATAACAAGACTGAGTCCTTTGCAGGGCAGGGATTCTGAAAAAACTTCAAATGAGCAGATCGCCAGGGCATGAGTAGTACTGGCCAGGTATTTCTTTCACAGGTATAACATGAAGACAGGGGCTAAGGTACTCTTCCTGGCTTTGAAACAGAACACAAAGCCGCTCTGGCTCCTTGAGGGCTTCAGGTGCTGAGCTGTAGTGAGAAAGGGAACACGCCCGGGCTGCCCAGCAGGAGGTGGAAGGGCTGGAGAACAGCGTGAGCCACACAGGTGCCTGGCAGTGTGCCCAGGAACACTGTGCTCGTGGCCATGTGTGAGACACGCTCTGGAACTGCAGAAATCTCTCGGGGGTGATTTGTAGTGGGGTGAAGTTCCACATGAGTTGGAAGAAGGAAGAACGAGGGAAATGTGGATTATGACTATTAATGAGGCCTGGGAAAAGTTGAGTTCCACTAGGAAGGTACAAAGTTTAGGTTTCCCTAGGGAATCGCTAGCAAGCTAATAGCTGGCTCATCCTCGTAGAAGTTCTACCTGGACACCGTTGATCAGTTGAAATTGTTTCTCTTCAATTCTCCCTCTTGTAGCAAGTTTATGAGCTGCAAATGTCCCTGTTTGCTCAGGCCTAGGGCAGGAATCCTTCCTAGATCCTCATCTCTACAAGTGTCCTTCTCATGCTGATTAAATCCAGTGAGCAACCTCTACCACTAAAAAAAGCAGGGAGGTGCCTGTCTGAGCAAGATGGGGAGGAGATACAGGGAGGGTTCCAGGCCGCCGTGCCAAGCTCGCACAAAGACAGACCTTGAGACAAAAGAGACAAAGACGCTAAGCACAAACAGCTATTTTGTTTTCCACCTTATCGTTTTCCATATTTTCCAAATTATCTATAGAAAGAGGCAAATGCTAGTTTTTCAAAACCGAATGTAAAAAGTACAAGTAAGCTCAGCTTTTCACAATCTACATGGATGAGGCGCATCTGGGTTTTACGTGCTTTCCTTTTGGTCACCCCTCAGGCATTTGATCTTGATTATGTAACACACAGGAGTCACAAAGAGCAACCACCTGGTGTGACGGAGGGCGTTCTGCCATGCAGATGATGCAGAAGGTTGGTGTGGCTAAGCACTGCCAAATCTGACAAACCTGTATTTTGTGGCATCCCCCTTGGGGACAAGGACCCTGTTGTAGAAGGAGACAGACATGAACATATTTTCCTACTCACCTCCACTGGACCTTGGCTCATCCAGCGAGAGTGATTGACAATCCCCAAAGGCTGTTGGCCAACTATTTGCAAGAGGGGTCCATGGAGGGAAGCCTCTTCCACCTGTTACTCTTTTCTCCATCACTTCACATCCACAGGGGTCCCTAAGCCCCAAGACAAGGGTCAAGTGCAAATCTGGTAAGCCAAGAAGACCTAGCAGTTGTCAACTTAATTAGCCTTCAGGAAAAATATATGGCTATATAAGCACAGTAAAGTTGCTATAGAGACAGGCAGAGGAGGTGCATTTAGAACAGGGCCTCATCGCATCACCCGATAAAAATAAGACCCAGGCTTTTTAATAGCATGAATTACTTAAGTTTTAAATTTAACAGGGGACGACACCAAGGCACTCACTGGTTTTCAGAACATTTGAGGAATCTGGGCTGCCTGCTTCTGCATATGTTAGCAGCCATCACAACATATGCTCTGGCGGATGGCAATGAAGAGCTGGAAGCCCACGTGTCTCTCCCACCCCCTGAGATAAGAGATGGTCTTTCTCACTTTGGTTTGTCCTCTTTAATTGGGTGAGATTTTCGATGTGTTTCAGGAAAATTTCTGAGAAATAGCTCTACCGTGCTCTGCACTGGGCCAGTTGCATGTATTATTGCTAGTCATTGTAACAACCTTAGGAAGCAATGATCTCATTTTGCAGACGACAAAATAATGAAGCTCAGAGAGGTCCAGAACTTTCCCAAGGTCACGGAGCTACTAAATGGTGGAGTTGAGATTCAAATCCAGGTGTCCCCATTCCAAAGCCCATTGCTTTATGAGACATGAACCACAACCTCTGCACAGAGAGGAACCCAGGATGAGGTGAATCCAAGAAGCTCTACCATTTTTATTGGTATATGGCATGGACCTTGTTATAGTTTAATCTCTCTCCTAAGGTAGTCCCAAAGTGGATGGGTTCCAAGAAATTCCACAGAGATTCTGAGCTCTACTGGTGAGCACCTCTCCAATTATCCAAGGCAAGTGTTAATTTCAGACTGACTTCTCCTAACCATCCAACATGTTTCTGGACTGTCTCTTCCCTAAGTGAGGACCACCAGCATAATTAACACAAGATTCCAAACATCACTGAGAAAGTGTCCCCACTGCTCTTGCATCCATGAAAGCTTAACCATATGAAACCCAGCTGGAAATCCAAAGTGAAGTTCTTTTTGTTGACAACTTTGTCTTCGGATTATTCATGAACCTCTTACTTTGCAGAAGGATTTTTAAAAACAGTTTTCCAACAAAGGCCTACATAGTAGACTCAATCTGAGCCTCTAAGGCATCATCTTTCCTTGTGGGAAACTGCAGTGCTGGTGAGATGAGATTGGGTCTGGGACAATGGCAGTGGAAGGGAGAGGAAGCCAATGGGGAAGCCAGGGGACCCCTGGTGACAGTAGGAACAAGTGGTACCTATGTCCCTCCCCATTCAGTTTACCAGCTGAGGGTCATGACAGATGTCTGGGCTTCACAGGATCCGAGAAGGCATGTCTAGGGCAACACTGAAACACATGGCTTGACAGAAATTTGAACCAAAGCATCGAACCCAGTGAACGGGCAGAAGGGCAGAGAGAAGGCAGGTAGAAGCCACAGACCAGAGGCTGGGACCCAGGGCACAGCAGAAGGTTTAGAATCAGAGGGAAGGTGGTGGTGCCTCGGTAGAGTCCTTGGGCCATAGAACTCACCCCAGGAGCTTTTTCAGGCTACCTGCAGCCTGCAATGTGGGTGCAGAGTGTGGCTAAGGGAGCTGCCTGCTGGGACCAGCTCTACTGCTCAGGACGCTCAAATCCATCTGTATGCCACTGTCATCACCCCCCACACACTCCTTCCAATCCCTGCACAATCAGCACTAATGTCTCACCAACAGATTAAGACCTGAAGTACAAGAAATAGGATTTTAAACTCAAGTTAATTCAATTCCCCAGGTGACCCTTGTTAACTTATTCACCCTCAGAGACATATTAATAGTTCCTTCTTATATCGTATAGCAATTTGTGGGGTGGGTTTTCTGGTAGCTTTACCTTTTTTTCTCACTTCAGTTAGACATGTTATCTATTTAAAAGTAATATGGGAAAAGGAAAAACGAGTGTAGGAATAGCTTCCTGGCAGAAATACTTTCACTAGTTTCTGAATGTAATATCAGCCCAGCAAAAGTTATCTGCAAATACAGAAGTTATCTGCAAATACATGTACATCAAAGACACTCAAGTTTTTTTTTTTAACAAATGAATCATTTTATGCTACTGAAATAACTCTGTGATGTGCTATTGGCATTTAAGGAGCTAAATAGACTCTGTGGGCCAGCCAACTTCTACTGAAAACATTAGACATGCACAGGCTTTAGACTCAGGCAAACCTTAGAAGTTCTGGCTTTGCTACTTATTAGCTGTGGTAACTTGGGCAAGTCATTTAACCTCTCTAAGCCTCAGCTTCCTCATCTGTGAAATGAGAATAATATCAGTCACATGCCAGGGATAAATCCAGGGAGGAGAATGGCCAGGGGGCTATGTCAAAGACCAGACACTACTTCCGCCCCAGGTGGATGCCAGGACCAGGACAGTGAGCAGGCAAACCTTGCCCTTGCCCTCCCTCCCTCCCTCCACAATCTTAAAGCTCCTTGAACAACCAACCCCCATCCCCACCCGCTGAGAATTTCCGTGCCCTCCTGCTGAAAGGGTTTGGCCTTTTGGTGTTCCCCTCCACCACGGGCTGTTTCCATGCAAAGCTCTCGAGGGTGACTTGCAGGCTACGGTCATCACCACCACCAGCCTTTCCCATCCCTGCCTCTACCTACTGCCCTCTAAATAAGGAAGCCAGCGCTGCCAGGCAAAGAACTTCTGCCCAATATGGGTCCTGGGTGGCCTCTCGCCTCTCTCTTTCCCTGGGCCCCCAGCCAGCTTCCCCCCTCCCTCAGAGATGCTCCCTGCTCACTTCATTCCTGCCTCATAGTTGGAATGACAGTGGCTCCCAGAACCCCTGGGGAGCGTGGAGGGTGATGGGGGTCTGGGGAGGCAGCCAGGCCCAAGAGCAGGTTAATGTTACAGCCCTGGATAAGTGAGCCGGGCGGGTTGACGTCAGGGTGATGATGGGTGGAGGGGAGGGCCGGGCTGCTGAACCAACTATAAAGATAGGTCAAATCAAATAACAGCTCGGGCCGGAGCAAGCGGGCGAGCTAGAGAGCGTCCCCGAGCCATGGTCTCTACCGGCCGCGGCTCAGCCTGGGTCCCTCTGCTCCCAACCCGAGTGCCCGTTGCAGGTTTTGGTTTCATGTCAGCAGCCTTCATCTGCCTTCCAAAAATAAGCCCCTGCCGCCATGCCGGAGGGAGAAAAACAAGAAGGGCGGTATTTTTAGGGCCATTAATTCTGACCACGTGCCTGAGAGGCAAGGTGGATGGCCCTGGGACAGAGGCTGTTCATCACTATGTCCCGGGGAGCAGGACGTCTTCGGGGCACGCTGTGGGCTCTCGTCTTCCTGGGCATCCTAGTGGGCATGGTGGTGCCCTCGCCTGCAGGCACCCGTGCCAACAACACGCTGCTGGACTCGAGGGGCTGGGGCACCCTGCTGTCCAGGTCTCGTGCCGGGCTAGCTGGAGAGATCGCCGGGGTGAACTGGGAAAGTGGCTATTTGGTGGGGATCAAGCGGCAGCGGAGGCTCTACTGCAACGTGGGCATCGGCTTTCACCTCCAGGTGCCCCCCGACGGCCGGATCAGCGGGACCCACGAGGAGAACCCCTACAGTGAGTGCCAGCTGCAGCCAGTTGGGATGCTTGGGGGCTTGGGCTTATGCCGGGCTAAAAGGTGAAGGGGCCATGCTCTAGTGGACAGGATGCACTATAAAGGGGACAGAAATGCTGCTCGCTACTTAGATGATTCCACGTGACTCTACCTGGGTGCAGGCTCAATATACTGGAGTCCAAGCATCCTGGTGTTCCTTGCTATCACCTTGGTTAGATCCTCCGTGGCACTAACTATTTCAGCATTACTGACCCATCTGATGCCTTGTAAGACCACTGGGAACCATTAGTCTGGGAAGCCCGCAAAGCAGGGGTAGGGAGAATGAGTTAGTATACTTAGATCAAATTTGACACAAGCTGATTTTTATTGAGCTTCTTTCTTGGAGAAGGCAAGGAAATTCAATTGCAAAATGTCCAACTGGAGCACATCCGTCTTTTTATTTCAGCGAGCTCCCTCTGTCCCCAGGTTCTTATCCTGCAAGTTGTCGGCTTGCTGTATGGTTAGTCTCCTATCCAAGAAAGGATGGGGGCTGCAGGATCCAAGAAAGCCATCAGCCATGGCGTGGCCGCTGCGTTTTCAAGATCAAGGGGGTTGAGATTTGTTGAAACATGTAGAGTACACATTAAGAATACTAATAATCAGAATGTAGTTTTTTACTCAAGTCAAGGACCTCAAGTAATTATGTCAATGAAAGCCCAGAGTCAAGGCTCATCTTAAATAGGTAGCTAAGTGGTCATTGCAGTCCCTAACTCTGATATGAGAACTTTCCCTTGCAGAACTGGATTTTTCACAGCACAATGGCAGCACTGGATGAGTGCAGCAGCCAGGGTCTCCTAGAGTGAGAGGGATGGTGGATGGGGTGATGGAGTCTGGCTTTCTGGGAGAATGGGGATGGACTGAGATGCCCTTGTTGGCTCAAGTTCCCACTGTGATTTGCACGAGCCTTGGGTAATGTGGCCCCCCTTTCCTTGTCAGGCCTGCTGGAAATTTCCACCGTGGAGCGAGGTGTGGTGAGTCTCTTTGGAGTGAGAAGTGCGCTCTTCGTTGCCATGAACAGTAAAGGAAGATTGTACGCAACGGTGAGTTCACCAGGCCGGGGAAGTGCCAGGTTTACAAGGCTTGATGCTTACGCAGTTGAAGAAAATAGTATGAAATTCTGAGTAGAGAAGTGACTATCTAAATGGGAAAGGAAAGGCTGTTAAAAGGAGCCTGTGAAAGGGAGGGGCCTTGCAGTTTCTGCGTCTTCAGCCTCATGGGTGATTGTCCTCCGCTCTGGCCCGTGTTTCTTCTGTTCCCACCTGCCGGCTGAAGTCTGTGTGATTAAACAGAAACCACAGCTCAGGGAGCCCGTGGGCCAGAGGGAAACCCGCATTCTGGCATCCCGGCTTGCGGGCAGGTGTGATTCCCTGCATTGGCAAGGCCCCGAGAGCAAGCCTATCTCTCTGCCTGGGTGTGCTGCTCCATGGCACGCGCCCTGCAAGATGCCTCGGCCTAGTGTGCCGCAGAAAGAGCGGAATAGGAGGCCGTTTTCGTCCTCATCAGTGTGCTGAGATTCTGCGCTAGGGTTTTCAATCCTCTGGTCTCTGATCGTATAAGCTGGAGAAGCAGCCTACCCATTACACACTTTAGGCAGGTACCAGTCCCACCCATTCCCATCCCCACCCCCATAGGTCACCCCTGGGAACGCCAGTGCTGGCACTTGGGTTAATGCCACCAACTTCTAAGCACATTGACCAAAACCTCCGCTCTCTCACTGACCTACTCATTCCTGCAGCCCTCGGCCCATCATTTGCCTTATTCCAAAGTATGGTGGGCAAACATCCCTATGAAGCTGAAGAAATGGAGGGTTCCTTTGACAGAAATAAGCAAGCTAAAAAGGAAGACCTCAGAGCAGGCCTCAAAAAATATCAAAGTTATTTATAGGGAGGGTGTGGAGGGCTGATCTCCTGCCCCCTTGGAGGATAAACTGAGGATTGGGATGTGAAGAAATAGACCCAGGACTGGCACTGGGTCCCAGGGGGGGCCCAACATAGGAGGTCTATGAAATACAAGAATGGGTTCACCAGGTGGCCTCCGTCCCATAATCTTTGGTGCTAACATCTCTCAGTCTGGGTTGGTTTATGTGGACATACGGCATGCATTAAAATCAGTGGGTCTCCCACACGGGTCTGTGGACAGTTTGCATCTCTATCACCTTGGAAACTTGTTAAAAGTATGCATTTCCAGGTACCTACCTAGGAGATTCTTATTCAACAGAGCTGAGATATAGGCCTGGAAATCCGTTTGGTTTTGTATTTTAAGTTTGCCAGGTGTTTCTGAGGCATAGGCAGGCTTGGGGGATGGCAGGCTACATGGCCTCTGGAGGGTGGGGTACACCCACTCCCCTTGTTCCACTGAACCGAGAGCTGCAGAGTGGGTGAGATGAGACAGAAGAGACATGTCCTTGTTACTCTCTCTCTGGAAAAGTGTGGTGAGGGCAGGAAGAGGCCTGGGGCCAACCCAGGTTTTGGTGGAGCAGGTTCCCCCCCTGGAGAGTGCAGCATCCCAAAGAATCCCTTCTTTCCAGCCTGCATAATGCCCAGAATCCCATAGGATCAGGAGAGCCGGGAATTTGGGCTGTTGGCTGTGGGACTCCATGCAAGCAAGGAACGTTGTAGCAAGTAAATCTCCTGGGAGAAAGCACAAATTTCATAAACTCTTCTTTCTCCTTGTCACCTTTATCAACAAGCTATTTACTACTATTTTCTTCCTACCCAGAAATGAAATGTATTGTGGGGAGGAGAAAATGCACAAATAGAGAGGATATTTACCCGCTTCCCACTTTAAATCTCTTGGCCCTGAAAGGAGAAGCTGGGAAAGGCCGGGGAAGGGAATATAAGATTTAACCATCAGAGAAAGTGCCGCGAAGCGGGGAAGAGCATTCAGAAGAGCAAAAGGGAAAAGAGGCTGACTCCCAAAGCCTGAAACCCCCACCCAGCCCCAGCCCTCACTCTGCAGCACCATTGTTGACGGATGACTTTAAAGGGAGTTAAGCAGGTTGATGAACTGCTGGGCTCACTAAATGAGCAGAGTCCAGGAGAACCAGGAACTTCTGGAGCAAGGACCCCGCCCCCTTCACCTCCGCCCTCCCACCCCTCCTACCTTCACCCTCAGTAGCATTTGGCCAAAGAGCATCTTCTCCAGGGAAGGAGCTTCTCCTCCCTGGACCTCAGGGCCAGCCGGGCCTGCACACAGAGAGTGGGGTTGGACAGCTGTGCCCCAAGCCTGGGGCACCTGACGTTTCGTGTGGCTCAGGACCAGATGCTCCTGAGCGACTTCTACCCCTCCCTCTCTGCCCCTCAGAGGCCGTTATCACAGTCTAAAAAAACAATTGCCGACCGATCCCCGGAGCCAGGAAGACTCCCGCTGGGTGGTGATTTCATTCACACTATTTCCCTTTAAGCCCTCTGAGCTGCCTCATCTCCCAGGCTCAGCTGCCACTGCCACTACATGCGATTTCTCATGGGTGGGGGAGGGAAACGGGGCTGGGGCTGAGGTGTTGATGAGGGGGACAAGGGAACAACTCGTGGGCAGAAAATAAGGGCCAAGGAAACCTGGCTAGAAGTGGCTTCACACATGTCTGTCTCCTGGAAAGAGGGGCGGGGAGGCTCAGGACAGTTTGCCGGGCCCCCCGCCCTTTAGACAATATAAACAGCTGCCGTGCCCTGAGCACTGGCCTACTGCTTGTGTCAGGCTGCACAGGCTGCACAGGGCTTTACGAGCATGATCTCGCAGCACCCCTAGGAGGGGCATTTGATCTTCACCCTCCCTGTGCAGCTGCGGACACCAGGTCTCCAGGGTCACACGTCCAGCCACAGCTGTGTGCAGCCCTGTCTCAGGGCTCCGTGACCCGAGTTCCAGTTCCTGGCCGACCTACCCTCTAGCTACTTGTCTTACTTTGGGCAACGTCACTGAACTTCTCTGGGCCTGGACTTCTGCTCTCTCAGGATGAGGCAGAAATCAATGAATTCTAGCCCCCTTGGGTCCCCTTTAAAATTCACAAAACAAAACATCGAGGATCTCCACCTGACAGTGGTGCTATCAGAATCCTTTGGTTGAGAAGAATACAGCCTAGCAAAAAGATACCAGCAACTCAGTTATGCTTTCAAGTGATTTCACTTTTACTAAGAATAACTGCATTTACATGCTTTTCATCAACAGTATGACAATGTGCAAAGGAGAAAGTTGATTTTCTCCAGAGACTTTTGATTAGTATCTGGGGCACTGCATTGCGGGAGGGGAGGACCAGCTTTGCCTTGGTTCAGCTGCCACTCTAGCAGAAAACAGAACTCCTGAGGGAATGGGACAAAGGACACCCACCATGAGGAAGTGCTGGGAGATGGACCTGGAGAGCAGCCGGAGGTGCATGCCCTTATGAGGGGCCTGAGGCCCTGCATACAAATCCCTGCCTGCTACAAAGAGCTGCCCAGGAGTGAGAAGAATGAGCCACCGGATGAAAAACTTTCCAACATTCCGAAATCAACAGTGCAATTGTGTGCTAGGAAAAAGAGTTGGAAAACGCAGGCATCTTCAGAGCTGACGATATTTCAGCTAAAGACAGGAAAAGAAGCAGTCAGGGGCTGTAGAAGAAAGTCTTAGGACAAAGAGTTGGTTTATTTTTCCTTCTTGCCCACATCCTTCCACCCCATCCTTCTCCATCCAACCACTCCCAGGAGGAACAGGGGCAAATGGCCCCAGCAGACACAGGAAGAAGATGTTTAAAGACAGGATTAGATCCTCATTGGTCCAGGTGACTGAGCTCTAAAGGCAAGAGGGTGGCTGTGTTGTCCACCTCACACTTTTAGGGGCATTTCTACCCCATGCATGTGCTTGCTCCTCTGCGAAATGCCCTTCTCCATAGCACGTGCCAAATGCACATAAGTCTGAATAGACCTACATGGACCTGAAGACACTGTCAAGCTGGGGGCTCGAGCCCGGCAGGCCCAGGAAATGCGACCCAGGGGAATGATTTTCATTTGTCCAAGTAATCATAAATGGTAGCTGCTTTTATGAACATGGCGTTCACTTGGCTTGAGGGCGTTCTTCACCAGAGCTGAGGAGCCAACATTCCCAAGCCATGAGAACTCAAAAGCTCAGGGCTCTGATGAAGATGCATTAAAGGGGCTGGGTCTTGAGCATCACTCTGGGCAGCAGGAAAATCCAATCAACCTGAAGCATTCAGGGAAAATGCATGATCTCCCCTTCGTGCCACAGATGGGGGTGCTGAGGGTGGAGAGAGAGCAGCAAGGGGAAGGTTAGGGCTTCTGACACAAGCTTCATCTACTAGTTTTCTTTTTTCACTTTACTTTTGTATAGGATTCTGGGGAAGGCCAGAGATATGAGACAGGCCAGAGAAAAGAGCAGAATGGAAAGAAAAAAAAAAGTCGTAAACTTAAAAAAAAAAACAAAAAACTGTGTGTATGTTGAGGGGGAGTGGATTTGAATGATCCAAAATCTAACAACCAGAGAAACAAAGTACAATCTATACATCCATGGTCACGCACGCTTGAACAATCATGTTTTAGGAGGCCCAGACGTTTAGAAGAGGCTGGGTTCTCAAATGGACACATTCTAGGCACCGGGAAGTGGGCAATGGCTTGAGAGTTTCTTGTCCAAGTCACTCAGTTCCTCCCACTTCCCCTTCCTCCACCTCAAGATTTCATTTCCTCTCTAGAGCTTGCAAACAACACATGAAACCTCTCCCTTAACCACCATCCAGATCAGAAATAAATTCTCTGGAACTGACTGGGCGGGTTACTCTCCAGGGACATACAAAGTTAGAACAGGGGGGAGGCTGGTGGGTGGAGAGGGGCTGTGACCCAACGAGGAGGAGACCACCCGTTTCTGATCAAAATGTTTTCTCGCTCGTTTCCTGGCCCATCTGCTACCGTAAATTCCCTTCCCACTTTAAATAATGTACTTACTTGACTAGGTAACACATGAACTTGTTTTAAGGAGAAAAGGTATCAGAATATTCTATGGAAAGTCTCACTCCTACCATCGTCTTGAAGCCACTGAGTTTCTCCCTAGAGGCAGCCACAGTTACCAGTGTATCATTCCAGTATATCATTCCAGAAATAGCCTAGGCACACGTGCACGCACTGCTATCATCTTTTTAAAATCACACACACAGGAGCATACTATGCTAACACTTTTTCAAACCTTGTGTCTTCACTTAGCAATATATCTTTGAGGCCATTTCATGTCAGTACAGAGAGGTTTCTTATCTTTTCAAGGCTTGTAGAATTCCGTCATGTGGATCTACCATAACTGAGTCAGTACTCCATTTTTTTTTTTTTTTTTTTTTTTGAGACAGAGTCTCGCTCTGTCGCCAGGCTGGAGTGTGGTCTCGGCTCACTGCAATCTCCACCTCCCGGGTCCAAGAGATTCCTCTGCCTTAGTCTCCCAAGTAGCTGGGACTACAGGTGTGCACCACCACGCCCGGCTAATTTTTTATATTTTGGTAGAGATGTGGTTTCACCATGTTGACCAGGATGGTCTCAATCTCCTGACCTCGTGATCCACTCACTTTGGCCTCCCAAAGTGTTGGGATTACAGGCCTGAGCCACCTCAGTTACTCCTCTCCTAATAGAACATTGTTTTTGGTCTTTTATTATTTAATACTGTAGTAACTTTTGTGCATGTGTGGGAATATGTCAGTAAGATAAACTTCTAGAAGTGGGATTGCTGATCAGTTGCTATAGTCATCCTTTACTCTGGTAGATGCGGCCAAATTGGTCTTTATAGAGATTATAACGGTGTACACATCGGAGGACATTAAACGAGAATTCCTAGTTTCTATGCCCTCACTAATGACAGCATAGTGTCAAATGCTTTTCTCTTTGAAATCTGGCCACTAAACATGTGATCTCACAGTTATAATTTACATTTCTCTTATTAGGCATATTCTCTTCTGCTTAAATGCCATTGATACTTCCTTTCCTGGGAATCTTCTGTTTTATAAATGTTGTTCATTCTCTGGTGAGTTTAGGGTTCTGAATATAGTAACAAAATGTACTCTTTGACATATGTGTATTGTATGGATTTTCATCCAGTTTGCCATTTCTGTTCTTATTTTATTTAAGGTAATATTTTTCAAGTAGAAGACTAATTTATTAATTTTTTTTAAATGGCTTTATTTTTTTTTTGTCCTGCTTAGAAAGATGTTCCTGATTCTGAGTTTATTTAAAAAAACCCTTTTCTGGATTTTAATGGTTCTCCTTTTTACATTTAAATTTTTGCTTCTTTTGGATTTATTCTGAGGTAAGGGATAAAGTCATACACACCAAACTTTATTATCATTATAATAGAATACCATTCCGTTGTTCCGACACCATGTTTTCTCTAGTGATTTAAAATACCACTTTTACTTTACATTCATGTCAGATTCATTTTATTTTACATCCATGTGTGTGTTGGGATCTACCGCCGGACTCTATTTTGTTCTTTGACCTGTACTGGACTCCTCATTCGCGTAGCTTTACTTGGAATGTTTCAATCAGTCCCGAACTGAATTTTTCCTGGTGCTGCTGCTCCCAAGCTTGCCCACTAACAAGGGAAGTCCTGTGACAGGTTCTATGCCCCATGCACAGGGCAAGAAACCAGGGTCCAGAGAGGCTCCTAATGAGGGGCTGTGGTTCAGAGCCAGCGCCAGCCTCTGCCCTTTCTCTCGCTTCCTGCTCTTCCATACAAGCTCAGTGTCTCCCAGGCACTCCATCAAAAACCGCAGAGCTTAAAAGCTGAATTGTCCAGTAACCCACAGCAAGTCTTACGGGACTGGTGATCCAGGGTAAGGCAGTCTTTTGAGGCTTTTAATGTAAAGTAGTTCATGACTTACTTGGAGAAGAATACTACTGCTACTAATTTGTTTTTAATTCTACTATATAGCAAGCATTGTTCCCAGGACTTTCCATGCATTATCTCCATTAATGCTTAGTCCAATTCTATGACATAATTTTTCTTAACTGTTCTTGCTTCACAGATGAGGGAATTGAAGCTTTAGAGGTTAAATGATTTGTCCAAGCTCACATAGCTAAGTAAGAGGCCATGGTCATCAGTCTAACCTCAAAGCTGTGGCACAAATGTTTTTTTTTTTTTTTTTTTTTTTTGAGATGGAGTCTCGCTCTGTCCCCCAGGCTGGAGTACAGTGGCGCGATCTCGGCTCACTGCAAGCTCCGCCTCCCGGGTTCACGCCATTCTCCTGCCTCAGCCTCCCGAGTAGCTGGGACTACAGGCGCCCACCACCGCACCTGGCTAATTTTTTGTATTTTTAGTAGAGACGGGGTTTCACCATGTTAGCCAGGATGGTCTCGATCTCCCGACCTCGTGATCCGCCCGCCTCGGCCTCCCAAAGTGCTGGGATTACAGGCCTGAGCCACTGCGCCCGGCCACAAATATGTTCTTGACCTATGTTGATTAGTTCATCCTTTTTACCTTTAGGACATCCCTTCATTCATCCACAAATATTCACTGAGCATCCCTAACAAGGAAAACAGGAAAGTTATGAAAACCCATCCCCTGGCGTGGCATTAACCTGTTGACGTGGCTGGTGAACGCCTTCACATTTATCTCAAGCAAGTTAACATCAGTGAAAGTGCTTTGTTAATAAGCTGCGAGCGTGAGAGAAGAAGATGGGGAAAATGTATGAGGGGGTTTCCCTGTGTTCCCACAGGCAAGGCTGTCCCCTCGCCCACACTCACATTACGTTGAAAGAGCCACCCATGTAGGGGTATCTTGACGTTTCAGTGCTATCCTTATTTACTTATTTCTTTATTCTTGAGACAGGGTCTCACTCTGTCACCCAGGCTGGAGTGCGGTGGAGTGATCATGGCTCACTGCAGCCTCGACCTCAAGCGATTCTCTCACCTCAGCCTCCAGAGTAGCTGGGACTGCAGGCATACGCCACCACGCTTAGCTTTTTTTTTTTTTTTTTTTTTTTTTTTTTTGTAGAGACGAGGTCTCACTATGTTGCCTAGGTTCCTCTCAAACTCCTGGACTCAAGTGATCCTCCTGCCTTGGTCTCCCAAAGTACTGGGATTACAGGTGTGAGCCACCGAACCAGCCATGTTATCCTTATTCAACCACCATCCACTCAGCATCATGTACCAAGCAAGACACAGTCCTCATCTCAGGGATCTTGGAGTCTATTGGGAAAGAAAGTATGGCTGTTCTAAATGTTGCCAGAGGGGTCCACTGAAAGGGCTCTGGGAGTCTTGGGGCCCTGAGGAGCAAGCTACTTACCAGCCTTCAGAACAGCAAGAGGTTCTCATCCAGCTACACTGCTAGCAAGACGGGACACTAGCAGTACGATTCCTTTACAGAAGGTAGAGGACACCTCTGGCACAGCCCGGCAGCCATCGAGCGGGGCTTTTTTATACCCGAGCAAGAAAGAGTCAGAAATTATCCTCCACCCATTTCTCATTCTATGTTTCTTTTCAAGAGCAGATCCCGGGTCTCTGGCTCCCACCTCGCTCTCTGTTCTTCTAGCCCCGACCCAGCTGCTTCCCCACAAGAGCAGGAAATCCCTGCACACTCCCTCAGGGCAGCCACCCAGGCAGGTTGCAGTGAAAAGAGGAGGACTTGGGGTGATGTACTGGGAATGAATTTATGCATGTGAGACAGGAAGTCCAGCATTCATGTTCTGAACAGGCGTCCCACACACACTCCTCTACCAAATTAGCATGGAAAGGGCCATTTTTTTTTTGTTGGTCCCAGGCTCCTTGGCATCACCTATCACATTGGGAACCAGGTCCTTTTCCCCATAAAAACACCTGCTCCTCACCATCTCTGTTCCTGCGTGTCCCTGGAGAACTATGATTGTCTTGGACCGCAGTCCTCAACCTTTTTGGCACCAGGGACCAGTTTCATGGAAGACTATTTCCATGGACAGGGTGAGGGGTGGGGGCGTGGGGGGACGGCGTGGGGATGAAACTGTCCACCTCAGATCGTCAGGCATTAGATTCTCAGGAGGAGCAGGCAACCCCAGATCCTTCTTCACATGCAAAGTTCACAACAGGGTTCTTGCTCCTGTGAGAATCTAATGCCACTGCTGATCTGACAGGAGGCGGAGCTCAGGTGGTCATGCAAGCGATGGGGAGTGGCTGGAACACAGAGGAAGCTTCGCTCACCCACCACTCACCTCCTGCTGTATAGCCCGGGTCCTGGCTGCTATGGGCCACTGACTGGTACGGGTCTACAGCCTGGGGGTTGGGGACCCCTGGTCTAGGAGGTACCAGACACCTTCTAGGCTCAAAGTCAAAACGGAGAATGGGCCTTTTTGAGGGATAGAAACCTTGAGACTTAAACCAGGAAAGACAGACTGAGGAACCACAAGCAGAAAGAAAGAGACAGACAGTGCTGGAAAGGGCTGAAGAGATCCCCTGTGTCTCCTACCCCTCCACCAACCACCTCTCTGCTTCTTCCCCCACCACAGCCTGCAGAAAACAGAACTGAGGCTGAAAGGGGAGGAACCTGCCCGAGGTCACACAACTAGGAAGTAGAAAAGTCACGAAATAGCACCCTGGGCTCTCATTGCTGCTCCAGGAGACTCCCTCTCACAGTGGACTTGAGAAAACAGCTTATTGTGTCATTTCCTGGTCTGTTCTTTGAATGGCACAAGTTACCATCTGGGGACTTCGTAGAAAGTACTCTGGAAGTCAGGAGACCTGAGTGGTAGAGCCTCAGCTGTGCCCCGTGTGGCACATCATCCCCTGTGTCCCTGGGCCTTGGTTTCCTTATGGTAAAGGAGGGAAGGCGAGAGGAAACCATGAGAGCCTGCAGCCTCTTCCCATCCTAACCTTTCACCGTTTTGTCCACCCAGGATGCTCAGACCTCACAGTGGTTGTCTCACAAAGAGAAGGGAAGGGGCGCCTGGCAGGGGGGCCTACTGTGCGCGGCCCAGCTGGCGTCTGCAGCACTCCTCATTTGTAACCCAGTCTCTGCTGTTTGCCCATGTCTTTCGCAGCCCAGCTTCCAAGAAGAATGCAAGTTCAGAGAAACCCTCTTGCCCAACAATTACAACGCCTATGAGTCAGACTTGTACCGAGGGACCTACATCGCCCTGAGTAAATACGGACGGGTAAAGCGGGGCAGCAAGGTGTCCCCAACCATGACTGTCACTCATTTCCTTCCCAGGATATAAGGACCCGCAAAAGAAGGCTCACGGATTTAAAGCAGCGTCTGTTCTGTTGGAATTTTGCACAAGCGAATAACTCCCCTTGCCCTCCATGGCTTCTGAGTCAGGTTTATCTCGTGCTTGGGGAGACCCCAGTTGTTTCCCTTGGCCACGGGACCCCACAGCATGTAGCCCATTCAAACCAGGGCTGCAATCAGCAACCTTAGAATGGCAATTTATCCCATGCTCTGACCTCCTTCCAGGAGAGAAGGTATCGGTGACACTTGTGGAATGTGACCATGTGCACAGGAAAAGGCCAGGGCAGGAGTTTGTGTGCACTGTTGTATATCCATACAGCTTTATATACATTCTCATAGCAATGGCATTTCAAAGCATCAGGTTTCTTTCTCCTAGCATCATCGCTGCAGGAATCTGCCTATAAGAATGTCAGTTGTCAAACCAGCAAGATTGATGTGTGCTCCCATTCTGCCTCTTTCCAATCATCTTTCCATTCAGAGGCCACTAATTACATGGGCTGCACAGGTCAGCGGGGAGCAGCTGTCCTCAAAGGGCAGAGACGGCATGGCAGAGTGAGAGGGTGTAAGGTTGAACTGCAAACTAGAGAGTGATCAAGCACTTCAAGCTTCCTGCCAGTGAGGGCTTTGGGGACACTGGGATGACTTGTCAGGGAAGCTGGGGGAGAAGCGGTTCCCTTCTTGGAGGAAAGGGGTAGAGCAGCATCCAGGGCAGCTGAGGAAGGCTTGTGGAGGCAGCAGAAAGGACTGGATGTTCTAGGAGAGCCACTCTGCCTGGAGAACTCAGGCTGTGTATGGCTCCAAGAACAAGCAGGGGCCAGGCTGCCTGCCCATAACGTTTCCTCACTTTGAACTGGTCTTATTTTAACCTCAGATGACAAGGATCCTAATAATGGCAACCTCTTTGGCGAGGGGTAGGGGGACAAACTAGGGCATGAAGGAAGTAGAGAGGCTTTGGACTGCAGATGGTAATTCCTCTCCAAGTATGTCCAGGAAACGCACCCAAGTTCTCATCTGATACCCTCACTTCCTTCTTGCTCATCCTCATCTCACATACGCGCTGTGCCTGGATGCAGCAGCATGGGCACCGTGACCTCCAGGCTTTGTGCTCTCTTCCTCCCTGCAGTAGAAGAGGAGTGATAATCCCGTGGAGTCAGGCAGCCAAGCTGAAGCAGCTCCTTGCTGCACAATGCCTTCTTGCCTCCCGTCCTTTGAGAATATTTAAAGCAGAGGTTCCCCAAGTGACTATAAATGTTGTCTGCTGGAGCCTTCGGATTCCTGAACCATTGGAATGTTCCTAAATCTGAAACCAGAGGGAGCCGTATCGGAGTGCAAATATTTCTGGCACATGTGAACCATCGAGTTACAAAATGACCTGACGCCCTCTGCGACTCTCGGGGGCCCCGGCCTGCAAGACAATCCCTCATCTGTTGCAAATACCTTCATCTTCAACATACCTCGCTATTTGCAGTTGCATCCATCTATAGATAGATCCGGGTTGAGGGACTCTGAGCTGAAGATGGAGGTTGGCAATCGAAGGGAGAGACGCCTTACTGGCCACCTCCTCTGCCCTGCAAATGTCAGGGAGGACATGTGCTGGGTGAGGAGGAAAAGGCCACATCCAGATATGCAAAGATGGAAGAGAGAGTAGAAGCCCTGGAGCACGGCCGACCCTTGGATGTGGTAGAAAAGGGAGAAAACTGATCCATCTTGAGTCTGTGGAATATTGAAGTGCAGGTCGGCTTGGAGGCGGGGATAAAGCTCTCCACTGTTTTTTAGGGAGTCTCATCCAGTGCAATCAGTCTCTTGAACACGGTCGATCAGGAATGCAGGCACTCCAGACCTGAGGTGCATATCGGTTCCTAGTGGAGCTTGGAGTGTGGGATGGCTGGTGGATAGCGTGACTGTGATCCAGAGAAAAAAAGGAGAAAGACGTTTTAGGTCCCAGAGCATACTGTCCTTTCTTCCAAGATCTTTCAGCTCACATGGCATGAGAGGACCCATCTTCAAGAGGGTCCCCAAAGCCTCAGGCTGCCAGCTCTTTCCTTCAGGTCTCTAGAGAATCACAACGTTGCTCAAATCCTGGCAAGGCATTTCGCCAAATGTCCACTTCCATTTTTCACGCTAGGAGTGAGAAGGAGAAGCTACGAAGTGCCTACGGTCAAGCAGGCATAATACTGAGCCGCTGCACTGCGGTCGCACCAGCACCGGTTATGAGGGGCTGGGTGTCTGTCTAACTGGTACCAGGGCCGATGCTGTATCAGTTGCTAGTATTTGGGGCTTGTTTGTGACAGGGTCTCGCTCTGTCGCCCAGGCTGGAGTGCAGTGGTGTGATCTCAGCTCACTGTAACCTCCACCTCCCAAGCTCAAGCGATTCTCCTTCCTCAGCCTTCCGAGTAGCTGGGACTACAGGTCCAGCTAATTTTTGTATTTATTTTTGGAGAGATAGGGTTTTGCCATATTGGCCAAGCTGGTCTTGAACGCCTGGGCTCAAGCAATCCACCTGCCTCAGCCTCCCAAACTGTTGGGATTCCAGGCATGAGCCACGGCGCCTAGCTGGTTGCTAAGTATTTTGAATACCACCTTTGGAGGCAGGTATGTGTGGGTGATGCTTTAAAATCCTTCCCATGCAAAGGAATTCTCTCAAGGGCTTTCTGTTTTCCTGTAAGTGTCTTGGGCTTAAGAAAAGCCAATCCCCATCCACAGGAGTGAGTGAAGGGACAAGACCAGAGTAAGATCAGCAGGATGCATTTCAGTCCCTTCTCTCCGGCTTCTGTTTCTGTTCCCCGGGCGTGGAGAGTTGTTTCCTATCTGGTCACATGTCCACTGAGTCCTGAGCTCAGTTGTCAGGCCCATTGGCTCCCAAAGGCTACAGAAGACACTGCTATAGGCAGGGTAACCAGAGTGCACCCCACTTTCCCATTGAGGACGTACTAAGACTTGGGTCCTCCATCCCCAAGTGCTGAGCAATAAGCCTGGTTTATAGAGTTTTGTAGCTAATGCACCTCTCTTTCATCCTGAATCTTCTTTGGCAGCTCCATGCAAACTTGGAGTTCCAAGGGCCAAGAGGCTGTTCTGTTGTCTCTTCAAGAGCAAATAATAGAGAGGAGAGCAGCATATCTACACACCCTTCAAGATGCACTTCTCAGCTGCAGCTGTAGAGGTTAGCTTAGAAGCAATGCGGGAGCCCCAGGCTCCTTGTAAAACCGCCACCCTTTTCAGGGCAATGGATGAACCTCATAGGAAACCAGAAAACTCCAAATGCCTTGTTCAAGCTGCTGATTATGTTTGTTTCATCATTCACTGCCTTGTAACACCCCTTCCCTTCCCACTTCCCATACATTTTTGAACCTCTCTGGAAAGCAGCATACAATTTTGTAATTAATACCCTACCATTATCCTCCGCAGCCTTCCCCTCTGCCACCACATCCCACAGTACCCTAATATACATGCCAAGCCCTTGGTCAGGGCCAGTCTATGGCCTAACAAAAAGAACATTTTCTTCTGCCATCTGATTCAGGATACAAACCTCTCCCCTCTTTAGACATATAGGCATCTCTCTCCTGCCCAGAAACCCAGGCCTGAAATTCTCTCCCGACCCTCATCCTGTCCTGGGCAGTTTGCAATTCTCCTTCGACGCTGGCTCTGGGCCACTTTCTTGTCCTAGACCTCAGACCCTTCAAGTTCTTGTTCTATGCAAGTCCTGAGAGAAAAAGGAAATAGGAGAGTCCATGAGCGGCAGTTCTCCTTTCTCCCCTTGTTGAAGTCCATTGCCTTTGCCCATTCTGTGTCACAGTCACTGGTGAAAACATATCTACCAAATGCACATCTACAAATGTCCTCCAAGACACCAGGATCTCCCCTCTGCCCTCTTTCTCCTTCTGCCCCCTTTCATGTGGACACAAGCTAGAAAACTCCTTCATTGGCCGGACGCGGTGGCTCACTTCTGTAATCCCAGCACTTTGGGAGGCCGAGGCAGGCGGATCACGAGGTCAGGAGATCGAGACCATCCTGGCTAACACGGTGAAACCCCGTCTCTCCTAAAAATACAAAAAAAAAAAAAAAAATTAGCCGGGCGTGGTGGCGGGCGCCTGTAGTCCCAGCTACGTGGGAGGCTGAGGCAGGAGAATGGCGTGAACCTGGGAGGCAGAGCTGGTAGTGAGCCGAGTGTGCGCCACTGCGCTCCAGCCTGGGTAACAGAGCAAGACTCTGTCTCAAAAAAAAAAAAAAAAAAAGAGAAAGAAAACGCCTTCCTCCTTGTATCCCAATGTTTTTCCTCAAAGACTCTGGGTCAGCTGTCCCTGAGGAAGCATTCTCTGCCGCTTACCATGCCTGTGTCTATAAAGTGGGTCTCTAATACTTGGGTCCCCTGAAGAAAGCAGCCACTCATTCTGCTACCTCCCAGAAAAACTCCAAAGAGAGGAATGTTTGGGACAAGGCCAGAAGAATAGAGAGAAATACTCCAGTCTCTGCTTACATCGGAGTTGATGCTTCCTCTTCCCAGAACAGCGGGAGGATGCGATTATGCCCCAAGCAGGTCCTGAATCTGGCCCATCATGCAGATGGCCAACGCAGAACCATGTTTGTATACCTCACTGAACGACTGAATTCCAGCACCAGAGAGCTGTGTCCTGCGTGGTTTCCTCTTTCTGTAAATCGCTAAGTACCTCAGGCTGGTCCCAGGGCAGAGCTGCCCTCCAGCTTAGGCACAGCGCATAGTACACCCCAGATGCTGTTCAGTCATGTGATTGTGAAATGTGATACCTCTATTTTTTTAACATGTATGTGCCATGCACAAACCATATCATGTTCCAGCAAAAAGTAAAAGGTCTTTTTCTACATTTCTCTAAACTCTTTGACTCCACTCCTCCTATTAAAACTGACAACAAATCTCTGGGTTGTCATTGATTTTCATCTTGATTCTTTCCCCCCTTGCAGGAAGGCAGGCAAAGAGAAACCGAAAGCACCGATTCATGGTGCTGTTGATGATTAAGGCAGGAAGAAGTCCGGTGGCGTACTCAGTCCAACTGCCCTATAGCTTGCCAATGGGGAAATTGGCCCAGGAGGGTGAAGAAAGCGATGGGAGACCATTGCGAGGCAGCATCCCTCTTCCTTGTTTGCCTCAGTCAAAACCATATACACACATTACTATAACTATAGAATTCATTCATTCATGTATTCACCCATCAAGATATACAGAGTTCCTCATCCCTGCCCCGGACTGGGCTCGGTTTTTGGGATACACATGTGAACAAGGTAAATGCAGTCTCCACACTCTCGTTAACTTGCATCACAAAAAATCACCCAAGAGCATGTTAAGACGTAGATCTCCAAGTCCCAGATATTCTGATGACGCCAGGCGGGGCCCGGGAGTCTACACGTTTAATACACACCCCAGGTGGGTCTGACATTGAAGCACCCATCTAGTAGGATGACTGGGATGGCAGGACATTTGAGCTGGGAGGGGACATAAATTATGCCATCTTTTTATGGGTTAAATAAAAAGAAAGAAGATGACTGCAGAGTTTAAGTCACGAGGATCCCACAGCCTCCTGAGTTTCCTCCCTCGCTTCACACTGCCCCCTTCCTGAGCTTCTTGTCATCAACCCTGTCATCTCCGTGCCACATTCCTGCGGTGGCCACCCCCACTCCCACACCCCTTTCATGCCATCTCTGCGGGGGATCCCAATGTGCCTTCAATCAAGCAACTCTGGGTTCCGAATAAATCTACGTTCTCTTGGAAGAGTTGCCTGGTCCTTCGGACTCTGCACCTCATTCCTGTATTATTTATGCAATTAATATTTCTAACATCCTACTATGCGCCAGAAACCACTTGGGGCCCTGGGAATATCACTGTGAAAACTATATATGGGCTTATAAACTGGCAAGGAAGACAGACATTACATAAATAATTACATCAAAATAGGCCAGGAGCAATGGCTCACACCTGTAATCCCAGCACTTTGGGAGGCCAAGGTAGGCGGATTACGTGAGGTCAGGAGTTCGAGACCAGCCTGGCCAACATGGTGAGAACTCATCTCTACTAAAAATGCAAAAATTAGCTAGGCATGGTGGTGGATGCCTGTAATCCCAGCTACTCAAAAGGCTGAGGCAGGAGAATCACTTGAACCCAGGAGGCAGGGTTTGCAGTGAGCCAAGATCACACCACTGCACTCCAGCTGGGGTGACAGAGCAAGACTCCATCTCAGGGTGGGAAAAATAAAAATAAAAATAAAATAATTACAGCAAAACATAATGAGCAGCACAAAAGAGAAACTTCAAGTATATTACGGGAGCACAGAACAGGGTCAGGACCTCCTCTTGGTGGATGAGAGGATCCATCCTTGGGAAAGCTGAGCTCTAAAGGGTCTCAGCCAGATTTGGGGCAGGGGTAGGGGTTGGCAGGTAGGGGAAGAGTGTTGCGAGGAAGGGAGGATGCAGCAGGTGTTTGCCAGTAGAGCCGCGGAAAAACATGGTCCCTTCAAGAATTTAAGCAGGGTCAGTATTGTATCCAGGATGAGAGGAGCATGGGCAGGATGGAGCTCAAGATAGGTGGACAGGAACTGTATCCCGGAGCACTGGGAAGCTGTGTTAACATGCTTGAATTTTTTTTAATTTTGCTTATCATACAATCCACCCTTAGTGTATATGACTCGATGAGTTTTAGTTAAAGTTAACCATCACCATAAATCAGTTTTAGAGCATCTCATTACTCCATTAAAATCCTTCATGCACATTTTTACGAGGATGTACTTATTTATTTTAGAGATGAAGTATCTCTCTGTGTCCCAGGCTGGAGTGCAGGGGCACAGTCATAGCTCAGTGCAGCCTTGAACTCCCAGGCTCAAGCAATCCTCCTGCCTCAGCCTCCTGAGTAGCTGGGACCACAGGCACATACCACCACAAACAGCTAGTTTTAAAAAAACATTTTTTTTTTAAGATGAGGGCTCATTATGTTCTTCATGCCCATTTAATCCCCTCCTCCCTGCTTTCACCCCAGCTACCACGGATCTACTTTCTGTTTCCATCATTTTCCCTTTTCTGGATGTTTCCTATTGTCACACAATATGCAGTCTCTTGTGTCTGGCTTCTTTTCACCAGAGGAGCTTGAATTTTAATCTGAAAACACTGAGAGGCCCTTACTGAGGTTTAAGAAGTAACAAGACCAGGCCGGGCATGGTGGCTCATGCCTGTAATCCCAGCACTTTCGGAGGCCGAAGCAGGAGGATCACTTTCGGTCAGGAGTTCGAGACCAGCCTGGGCCACACGGCAAAACTCCGTCTCTACTAAAAAGACAAAAATTAGCACGGCAGGGTGGCACGCACCTGTAATCCCAGCACTTTGGAGGCCGAGGTGGCGGATCACTTGAGGTCAGGAGTTCAAGGCCAACATGGTGAAACCCCATCTCTACTAAAAATGCAAAAAATTAGCCGGGGGTGGTGGCATGTGCCTGTGTCAGAGGTGTTTGAACCAGAGTGACTCCCTCTTGAGTGAGGGCTAGGAAAATGAGGCTGCCACTGCTGGGCCGCATTCCCAGGAAGTTAGGTATTCCTGGCCTCCAGATGTTTATGGTTAAGGGAACAGATTGATGTTTAATAAATGCACCCAGACTTTGGTCTATAGGATTTCTATAGGATGATTGGACTGTAAATGAATACAGTAGATGTATTCATCTACAGTAGACTGTAGGTGAATCAGAGTGTCCTGATTCTGATATCTTGAGAACAAAAACATTCCTAATTTTGTTTTAAAGATAATAATATTGATTCTTGCAAAATATAGTAATTAAGAAAATTAATCCTTCATCAGAAACCCTTGTAGCAGAACCCATCTCCCCGTGATCTGTTTTTATCCTATATATAAGTGAGTATTGTACTTAGGGAGGACACGTTCCTCCTCGTACTTTTGGAAACACCCTGCTCTGTCTACGGAGTAGCCGTGCTTTCACCACTTTGCTTTCTTAATAAACTTGCTTTTGCTTTGTGGATTCGCCCTGAATTCTTTCTTGTGTCAGATCCAACTCTCTCGGGTCTTTATTGGGACCCCTTTCCTGTAACACCTGTAGTCCCAGCTACTCAGGAGGCTGAGGTACAAGAATCGCTCAAAGCCGGGGGCAGAGGTTGCACTGAGCCGAGATCGCGCCATTGCACTCTAGCCTGGGTGACGGCGCAAGACCCTATCTCAAAAAAAAAAAAAAAAAGAAAAAGAAAAAGTAACAAGACCAGGTAGGGGTTCTAGAACGATCATCAGAACTGTCTCCCATAAAATGATGTGGTGAGGTGAGCCTGTGTGCAGGGAGAGCAATTTGGAGGCTCCCACACAGGAGTGTTCCAGGCTAGAGGAGACGACGCTGGAGAGAGCAGTGACGCCTGGACGGAAAGAAGCCCACGTGTGTGGGCCGAGCGCGGTGGCTCACGCCTGTCATCTCAGCACTTTGGCAGGCCAAGGTGGGCGGATCGCCTGAGGTCAGGTGTTCGAGACCAGCCTTGCCAGTATGACAAAACCCCATATCTACTAAAAATACAAAAATTAGCCGGGCGTGTTGGCTCACCCGGTAATCCCGGCTACTCGGGAGGCTGAGACAGGAGAATGGCTTGAACCTGGGAGGCAGAGGTTGCAGTGAGCCAAGGTTGCGCCACTGCACTCCAGCCTGAGTGACAGAGTGAGACTCTGCCTCAAAAAAAAAAAAAGTAAAAGGAGTCCTCATGTGTGGCTCACCCCAGGGAGTGCCTCTCAGGCTGAATCCGATTCTTGTAAAGCACACAAGAACCAGTCCCCTCCATTTTCTGAGGGAGATCCCAAGAGATTTCACATTCCTTGCCTGACCATTCACGTCCCTAAAGGGACCAGCAAGAAGCCTTCTGCTGCCCTGCTGCCATCTGTCTATTGTCAGGGCCCTGAGACTAAACCCGATGGTGCTAAACACAAGCAGACGGACACCACAGCCTCATTTCACACACAGACACTTGGCCAGGACAGCTGCTTTTCCTCTTTTCCTCCAGCTTTAGGAGGAAAAAAAGCCAAAACGCCAAGAAAACAGGCTAACAACAGATCCCGTGAA